GGAGTTACAAGAAAAAATTTTGCCCCCAAATTTTAGGGAAACACTGGGTACCACATGCAGGGGATTAGTATTAAACCTCTGGAAAAACCCTAAATCTTAAATGATTTTTTGTGATTTTTTAGTGTATTTTATGGTATTTTTTTCTTTTGGGATAGAGATAACAAGAACTATAAAGCCCCGAACTGTAGGGAAACACGGGAAAACCCCTTGCAGGAGATTTTTATTTTTAAAACCCTGAGAACCTCTAAATCTTATAGTGTATTTATATTTATTTTTAAAGGTTAATTTTAGGTGTTTACTTGGTAAGAGAGTATCAAGAACTATAAGCCCCAACTGTAGGAACACTGGGAAAACCCCTTTGGGGAATTTTAAGGTATTAAAACCTTGTGAAAACCCCAAAACTAATATTTTTAAGTTTTTTTTTATAATGTATTTTTATAGGGTTGTAAAAAGTGTTTTATAGTGGTAAATTTTATTTTGGTTATTTATAGTGGGGGGGGGGGGGGTTTTTTATAGTGGGAAATTTTAAAATTTTATTTAATATAGTGTATTTATTGGTTTTAGAAAAAGGGTTAAAACAAAAAATAAAAAAACCCCAAATTTTCAGGGAAGCACTGGGAAGCACTTGCAGGGATTAGTTTACCCTCTGGAAGCCTCTAAATCCCTCCTTTTGGGGTAAAGAAAGCTTCCCCTTTTTCTCGGGACTCTGCAAAGGGGGGGAGGTTTTGGTTTTAAAAGTAATAAATAAGGTTGGGGTATTCAAAAAGAAATTCATACTTGCTTACTCAGACGTTTTAAAAAATAGGAAAAAAAACGACAGTAAAAAATTTAATTTTAAATATTATATCAAAAAAATACTATAAATTTTCAAAAAATTAAAGGACTAGGAGGGGGCTTCATTAAAGTTGTGGCGCTGCAACCATTCTCGTCTCACAGTTTTAAGAGGCTCGAGAAAAGTCCCCCGCCCGCCCCCTACCCTCCTGATACAAAACTGAAACAAATAAACCTTTTTAAATAAAAAAATACACTAACCCCGCTCTCCTCCGATACAAAACTGAAACAAATACATAATAACACTACATCCCCGCTACTCCACCTATAAATACCACTACAAAATAATCCCGCTACTCCTCCTGATACAAAACTGAAACAAATACACTATAAATACACTATAAATACACTACATCCCCGCTACTCCTCCTGATACAAAACTGAAACAAATACACTATAAATACACTATAAATACACTACGTCCCCGCTACTCCTCCTGATACAAAACTGAAACAAATACACTAAAAATACACTATAAATACACTATAAATACACTACGTCCCCGCTACTCCTCCTGATACAAAACTGAACAAATACACAAAAATACACTATAAATACACTACATCCCCGCTACTCCTCCTGATACAAAACTGAAACAAATACACTATAAATACACTATAAATACAATACGTCCCCGCTACTCCTCTGATACAAAACTGAAACAAATACACTATAAATACACTATAAATACACTACATCCCCGCTACTCCTCCTGATACAAAACTGAAACAAATACACTATAAATACACTATAAATACACTACATCCCCGCTACTCCTCCTGATACAAAACTGAAACAAAAACTCTATAAATACACTATAAATACACTACATCCCCGCTACTCCTCCTGATACAAAACTGAAACAAATACACTATAAATACACTATAAATACACTACATCCCCGCTACTCCTCCTGATACAAAACTGAAACAAATACACTATAAATACACTATAAATACACTATAAATACACTACGTCCCCGCTACTCCTCCTGATACAAAACTGAAACAAATAGCTTGTTAACCTAACTTCCTTATCGGACATGACTAAACAAATGTGGTCTTAAAATATTATGTTTAGTGTTCACCTACCTAACAAGAGGTTAGTGTTCACCTACCTAACAAGAGGTTAGTGTTCACCTACCTAACAAGAGGTTAGTGTTCACCTACCCAACAAGAGGTTAGTGTTCACCTACCCAACAAGAGGTTAGTGTTCACCTACCTAACAAGAGGTTAGTGTTCACCTACCTAACAAGAGGTTAGTGTTCACCTACCTAACAAGAGGTTAGTGTTCACCTACCTAACTAAGAGGTTAGTGTTCACCTACCTAACAAGAGGTTAGTGTTCACCTACCTAACAAGAGGTTAGTGTTCACCTACCTAACAAAAGGTTAGTGTTCACCTACCTAACAAGAGGTTAGTGTTCACCTACCTAACAAGAGGTTAGTGTTCACCTACCTAACAAGAGGTTAGTGTTCACCTACCTAACAAGAGGTTAGTGTTCACCTACCTAACAACAGGTTAGTGTTCACCTACCTAACAACAGGTTAGTGTTCACCTACCTAACAAGAGGTTAGTGTTCACCTACCTAACAAGAGGTTAGTGTTCACCTACCTAACAACAGGTTAATGTTCACCTACCTAACAAGAGGTTAGTGTTCACCTACCTAACAAGAGGTTAGTGTTCACCTACCTAACAAGACGTTACTGTTCACCTACCTAACAAAAGGTTAGTGTTCACCTACCTAACAAGAGGTTAGTGTTCACCTACCTAACAAGAGGTTAGTGTTCACCTACCTAACAAGAGGTTAGTGTTCACCTACCTAACAAGAGGTTAGTGTTCACCTACCTAACAAGAGGTTAGTGTTCACCTACCTAACAAGAGATTAGTGTTCACCTACCTAACTTGTTAGGTAGGTGAACACTAATCTCTTGTTAGGTAGGTGAACACTAAGAGGTTAGTGTTCACCTACCTAACAAGAGGTTAGTGTTCACATACCTAACAACAGGTTAGTGTTCACCTACCTAACAAGAGGTTAGTGTTCACCTACCTAACAAGAGGTTAGTGTTCACCTACCTAACAAGAGGTTAGTGTTCACCTACCTAACAAGAGGTTAGTGTTCACCTACCTAACAAGAGGTTAGTGTTCACCTACCTAACAACAGGTTAGTGTTCACCTACCTAACAACAGGTTAGTGTTCACCTACCTAACAAGAGGTTAGTGTTCACCTACCTAACAAGAGGTTAGTGTTCACCTACCTAACAAGAGGTTAGTGTTCACCTACCTAACAAGAGGTTAGTGTTCACCTACCTAACAAGAGGTTAGTGTTCACCTACCTAACAAGAGGTTAGTGTTCACCTACCTAACAAGAGGTTAGTGTTCACCTACCTAACAAGAGATTAGTGTTCACCTACCTAACTTGTTAGGTAGGTGAACACTAATCTCTTGTTAGGTAGGTGAACACTAAGAGGTTAGTGTTCACCTACCTAACAAGAGGTTAGTGTTCACATACCTAACAACAGGTTAGTGTTCACCTACCTAACAAGAGGTTAGTGTTCACCTACCTAACAAGAGGTTAGTGTTCACCTACCTAACAAGAGGTTAGTGTTCACCTACCTAACAAGAGGTTAGTGTTCACCTACCTAACAAGAGGTTAGTGTTCACCTACCTAACAAGAGGTTAGTGTTCACCTACCTAACAAGAGGTTAGTGTTCACCTACCTAACAAGTGGTTAGTGTTCACCTACCTAACAACAGGTTAGTGTTCACCTACCTAACAAGAGGTTGAGTATCAGGAGAGCGGCCAGGAAAGAGTTCCTCTATCACGTGACTAACTTTAGTGAACATTCCGAACTGTACAGCTCCGTACACTACTGATAGTAGCTGGGAGGCGGTGTGCCCTTTCCTGATAGGGTGTTTACTTTAAGGGGTAGGGTGTTTACTTTAAGGGGTAGGGTGTTTACTTTAAGGGGTAGGGTGTTAACTTTAAGGGTTAGGGTGTTTACTTTAAGGGGTAAGGTGTTTACTTTAAGGGGTAGGGTGTTTACTTTAAGGGGCAGGGTGTTTACTTTAAGGGGTAGGGTGTTTACTTTAAGGGGTAGGGTGTTTACTTTAAGGGGTAGGGTGTTAACTTTAAGGGTTAGGGTGTTTACTTTATGGGGTAGGGTGTTTACTTTAAGGGGTAGGGTGTTTACTTTATGGGGTAGGGTGTTTACTTTAAGGGGTAGGGTGTTTACTTTAAGGGGTAGGGTGTTTACTTTATGGGGTAGGGTGTTTACTTTATGGGGTAGGGTGTTTACTTTAAGGGGTAGGGTGTTTACTTTAAGGGGTAGGGTGTTTACTTTATGGGGTAAGGTGTTTACTTTAAGGGGTAGGGTGTTTACTTTAAGGGGTAGGGTGTTTACTTTAAGGGGTAAGGTGTTTACTTTATGGGGTAGGGTGTTTACTTTAAGGGGCAGGGTGTTTACTTTAAGGGGTAGGGTGTTTACTTTAAGGGGTAGGGTGTTTACTTTAAGGGGTAGGGTGTTTACTTTAAGGGGTAGGGTGTTTACTTTAAGGGGTAGGGTGTTTACTTTATGGGGTAGGGTGTTTACTTTAAGGGGTAGGGTGTTTACTTTATGGGGTAGGGTGTTTACTTTATGGGGTAGGGTGTTTACTTTAAGGGGTAGGGTGTTTACTTTATGGGGTAGGGTGTTTACTTTAAGGGGTAGGGTGTTTACTTTAAGGGGTAGGGTGTTTACTTTATGGGGTAGGGTGTTTACTTTAAGGGGTAGGGTGTTTACTTTAAGGGTAGGGTGTTTACTTTATGGGGGTAGGGTGTTTACTTTATGGGGTAGGGTGTTTACTTTAAGGGGTAGGGTGATTACTTAAGGGGTAGGGTGTTTACTTTAAGGGGTAGGGTGTTCTACTTTAAGGGGTAGGGTGTTTACTTTAGGGGTAGGGTGTTTACTTTAAAGGGGTTGGGTGTTTACTTAGGGTAGGGTGTTTACTTTAAGGGATAGGGTGTTTACTTTAAGGGGTAGGGTGTTTACTTTAAGGGGTA